TGGAAAGCATCACAACCAATGTAAGCCAGGTCGTTCAACGTATGAAGGGTCGGCAGCTAACTTTCCCAGTTCTCAAAGAAACTTTGCCAGGACATCTTTATACAAAACAAAAACTTGGGGGCTCTTGGCTATAAGTCAAAGTTCACATTTAAATGGATTCCAAATTTGATCCGCACTACCACTCTGCCAGGCGGATCGAACGACGACCGAGAGAAGCATTCAGCGGGTTTCAACAGCCATCTTCTGGAACGCGTCGCCCTTTTAAATTTGCTTTTCATGTCTAGCGTTGGTATTTATTTGGGATATCTGTGTTTAGGAGCGATTCATTGTATTTCTTCCCTTTACTTAGTTTAGGGCATACAATTATACACCTGCTGACCAAATGCTTGATAATCTCTGGCTTCACCAAGGATCTTTTTTTGCCTCTTCAACTTCTTTGAGCCTTATTTCGGGATATGATGTCAACCAACCATTGTATCAAATATATCTTCGCCAACACTTACTAAGACGAGCATCTCCTCTCTTACGGCATACACTTGATTCTGAAGGGCTATGAGCTCGAACAGTCCATTGTAAAGGAATAATTTCAGAGTCAATCATCTGAAACACTCAAAATCCTAATAGATATAGCGGAATTGCGGATTCTGGTAAGAGAAAAAACAGGTTAGCTATTACGAATTGTGTCTGGATTGGAGCACATACCTTCATATCCGTCAAATCATCTTCATACGCATGATCGAATCCCTCGCCTACACCACTCTTATCACGGCGACCGTTCTCCCAAATACACACGTAGCGGTATACAATTGCAAGTACACTCGCCGCAATCGATGTTACAACGGTGACAATAAAGCCGGGGGCGTATCCAGGCGCATCTGAGTTCTTGAAAACCATGGGGCCAACAAAGTTCCCTTAGTTGCTTAGTTAGCACCGAAGTTATGGACGGCAGTGTCTCACACATACCTAAACAATAGCCAACAAAGACCCCCGAGGACGTAACTGAGCGCTTCGTATAGCCGGCAGTGTTCGCAATCTGTAGGCCCATTAAGACGGCGTAGCCGCCTCCAAAGGTAGCTAGAATGTAGCAAGCGAACAGTAGCCCGCCCCTCTCGCTGCGAGGGAGTAGCCAAAGCAGAAACGAAGCTGTAATGGTGCCAATCTGGCATGTAGCGATTATCCATGTTCTATTGCCCGGATATTTATATGCCAGGAGTGGCGCAACCCACTCGATCGTTCCGATCACCACTCCCGCAGGCATGCTAAGCAGTAATGAGTTGAGCGTAGAATACCCAAAGTTCGAAATGAAGATCGGGATGAAGGTCGAGACGGGTCCATTCGCTATCATGATGAGGAACGCCATGGAGAAAGTCAGCCAGAAACGAACGTCCACGAGGACCTCGAACGCTTGCTGCCATTTGAAGTGAGTGTTCCGGACACCAGCGTTATTAACTCGTAACCGTGCTACCGCGATATATCTCTCGCGCTCGGTGAACCCCCGAGCACGGATGGGATCCGGAGGCATGAAGAACAAAATGACAAATCCCCATAAGATGGTGATGGCACCTGCTATGACATACATGTACTGCCACGAATTCAAGGCCCCGCCATTGATATGGCCAAGACCAAAGTTGATCAAAGGAGCTATCAAGGCGACATATCCAGCTAATTGGTGTCAGCTTTAGTGTCTTTGGTCTTCATTAAGGCTCAACGTACTAGCACAGTACCAGATTCCCATTCTCAAGGCTTGCTCATCGCGTTTGTACCATCCTAGGATAATTCTATAAGTCCAGTCTGCACCTCGATCCATCATGATCATACTTGGGGAACTTACCACCAACGACCAGCATAAACATAGGAGAAACGCCTGACTCTAGAAAACCAAGGAAGAATCGCTGGGCGTAGAATGACTGGTAACTTTTGCACGCTACGGTGCACATCACGCATGCTCCCCATATAAACACAATTCCACTGCAAACTCTTTCGATAGGGAACCGTTGGGCAAGCAGGATGGCAGGGGTTGCACCCACGATAAATCCTAGGTAGAATATGGAGGCAGAAAAAGAATAACGCTCGCCCACCGTAAGCTGTAAATCTGTGCGAAGGCCGAAGAGAGCCTATATATATCTGGCGTCAGCTAACTCTTTCAGGTGAAATTCTTTATCCTAAGACTTACTGCTTGTGACAACATTGCTTTGTCATAATATTGCAATCCATAAGTCAAAGTAAGAATAACAAGGAGCGTGCGGTCGATTCGGCGGACAAGTCTCTTCTCCTCTTCTGGTTCCCAGTCTTCATCGCCCGCCCAGGCTTCGAGAACTTTTAATGCCTCGTCATTATGCAGTGTGTCGACGGTCTTGGCATGTTGCAAATCTGCCAGAGTTTTCGGTCCCTTGTCGGCAGTCTCTCTATGCTCCAGACTGCTTCTCTTTTCTTCTCCCATCGTATGGTTATTCTGGTTCCGAGATATATGTGACCAGAAGAACAGAGTGCTATTATGGTTCCTAGTTATCCAAAAGAGAGGCTTTTATAGGTTTGTTGCCTGGAGTAAACTTTGGGCAAGAGCAGGGGCCTCAGGAGATTTCGTCCACGAGGTTACATGCCAAGGTGCGGGGGAATGCCTGCTGGCCATGATTAGATGCATGCAGACGATGGATCTCTCAAAAGTTGTAATAATAGTTTGGATCAAAGCTGAGCTTTCTCGGACATTCATAACCGAGGCAACGTTGCGGGGTAGTGGGTGTTGCCTCTTCCTTAGGAAGTGGCGATCGTCGAAATAACCCGGGATCTAGATACACAAATAAGGATAACCAATGGAACATAGGGAGGGGTTGACATCCATACGGCAACTGAAATTAGACGGGTGTTGCATATAGCCGAGGACCTCTTCTCCAGCCGGCTCTCGAGTCACAAGTGACCCCAAACCTTAGTATTGTCGTCTAAGTTGACGTCAACTGGAATTTGCATGTATGGCTTTACATATGATGCTTTTTATCTGCAGAGGATTCCGTTTATTTCATATTTTTGAACAGACGAAAGTTTCTATCATCCAGTCGCCAGTCGAGTCTCACGTCTGGTAGAATGAGCTGCTTGAAGTGATTTGGAGCTCAACTTTAGAGCACGGTCTCTAAAAATCAGATTTTCATGCGATGTATTTTCCGAGAAAGATCAAGTTGGCAAGCGCAATAATACTAGCCTTCGCAAGAATGGTTGGGAGCCCTTATATCTACATCCTTCACCATGGATTTTACACCATAAAGAGGTGTAACATTAGCTATCGTATTTCATTCAGTTTTTTTTACATTATCTTGTTAACTAGCATCTTTTGGCTATCTCTCGAATTCAGTCATGCTTGTGCCGGGAAGCTTACAGGGCCAACATGTCGAAGTGGTTCCCACTACTATGGACAAACCGGTGCGCTTTGCAGTTCTTCTCTTCAAGTACGGCTTAGATATCACAATAAGTGCCAACTCAGCCCGATAAACACACGTTGGAGAACTATAATTAATTGTCAGGGCACTTGTCCGTCCGAGAAAAGCAAGGCGAATGTGCGTTACCAATTCGCCCGCAGCGTCTGCGCCATTAGCAGCTCACTTGTTTGTCTAGCCGGGCCCCAACAGCGCCAAGAAGTACTGACGCCTCACAGACTCAGGTCGATACCATCCGTGAGGCCCAGAAGGTTATACAGGGCTGGGAGGACGAGCTTCTTTTTGCAATCTTCAAAAGTAGTTGTAATGTCTTGGGTTGAATTAAGCTTAATTACTCAACTACGTCTACATTGAACTATTTTACGTAACGTTCAAAGATCGCTTGTCTCTAAGAAATAAATTCTTCAACTGAGTGTACTTAAATCAGAAGGACTAGGAGGTGGTGAACGTATTTCAGTGAGAACCTCCACAAATCCTTTTCTGCACACGAAACCCCTGCTATAGGCTCACTGAAATAGCACCTCAGTTAATGAGAAATGGCTGGGCCTAGCCACTGATTTCTAGAAGGCTGGGCAGTTTTATATGCGCGGATATGGGGTGGCCTCTGGGTTACCCATTTGTCACGACTGACGTGTATAGCCAGGAAGCTCCGGAAGCTTGGTTGATACAGGTTTTTCTCTGTTACGGCGTGCATGCATATAAATAAACTAGCGATTGCGCTTGAAAGGTCGAGACTGGGGGCTCGTTCTCGGGTACTGTATCCCTCCAAGGAGCTTATCGCAGTGACGTTGGTGAATCGTCAGGGGTCATGTCATTGATGTTCCACATACACGTCGCTTAGTACGAATAAACTCCCCAAGCCACATATTTTCACGCACCTCAGCTTACTTTATGCATCTCTAGGTGCCAGCCCTACGTTCTAATCGAGTTCGGGCTGGGTTTGCGGCAGTGATGAAGAGACCGAGATGATGGTTTCACTGACAGGTCTTGGCACTCAGGCGTAGTTCGGCTGTGCGCAGCTCATTGCCTCCTTGAGCCAAGGGGAAATGCTTTCTAATCCCCAATGGATGTTTCCCTAGGTCCAGTCATTGCCCTTACCAAAGAACTAGAAAAAGGAACAGAAAAATCGAGAGTAAAACTGAAAGCCAAGGGCTGTCTCCCGGTCACGAATTGGCGACAGAGCCCTTAAGCTTATGTACATTCACAACGCGGCAAGTAAATAACACTACTGAGCCCGGGTACGGGAAGCAATTGCATCTCTGGCAGACGCGCCTCAACGTATGCCGGCTCAGATCTGTGGGCAGTGGTAGCCGATCTGGTCTCAGACATGCTGTAGCGCCGGCACTTTAGTACTACAGCCACATCATGTCACTGAACATGGCGAAACCGAGACCGAGACCGGTAGCCTTGAATTCTATGCAGAATGGACAGCAGTTGGGCAGACGACTCAACATGTCATAATCAGCCACAGATGGAAGACAATGCATGCGAGCTTCATATAAAGACTTCAACATCCAGTTCACTCTTCTGTCTCTCATTCACAAAAAATACCAACTACATGTTCTCACCTACCAGTCTCTCGAACTCATCTGGATCTTCGATTCACTATTTTAACGCTTTTCAACGATCTGGATCCGCATCATAAAGAAAAAAGACTGAAAGGGAAAATGTCCAGCTCTGCCTTCGATAAAATGGAGAAATACTTCATCCAACGGCTCAAAATGCCCCTTCATATCATTGAGGTTATCATGATAATAGTGGCTATTATTCTGGCAGGTGTTCGTCTCACCACTATTACTACAAGGACAAGGACAGACATGATGGCTATAGCGATGGTGAGACCCTCAGATATTAGCATTACTCGGCGTCATTTTACTAAAAGTATACCAGGGTGCCAAGTCGCTTGTCGTTATTGCGTATCAGCTCTTGTCAGAGCATGTGGCACAATGGAAGAGATTTGCAAGTCTGAAAGCCAACCTGATCCTCAACGCCCTCGAGATTGTTTTCTGGGCCGCGGTGGCATTCATGGCCATCCAATCGAATACTAGGTCGTGCAAGGGCGCCAGCTGCGGTCTTGGTTGGGGAGTCCTTGTTATCGCCATTTTGATCAGGTTCGTTCGCCTTGCCTGTCCAGGCCTGTCCTAGAATCATCTGATTATGCAGACCAAAGTGTGTAATAACGTGACTGACAATTATCCCCAGCAACATATCGATCTACATGACTGGTATTTCTTATTTCGCTTTTCGGTGGTCTCGAAAGGCTAGGAGCAGCGAGTCATCCCACGCCCATCTCCGCAGTGTCCATGGACCGGCTCCTCGAAGACATTCTTCTTCTCGAAGACACTCTTCTCAAAGACACCATTCTCGGAGACACTCTTCTCAAAGACACACAGGCCCGTAGAATATATCAGCGTGGAAGTATACGGGTGTTTCTCAGAATGCTCCACAGAGAGGTTATCGATGGTTTGGGCTTGGCATATGGACGAATGGTCTTGTCGTGTCCCAAGTGACTTGGGTTCTTGGCTTTCTGTTTTGCTGGGTTATCGCTTTAAGAATTTTGAGGTTCGAATGATTATTGGGAAAACATAATTAATTTTCTTTCTTTTCTCGTAGACTGCGGGGGATAGGAACTGGAGTTCAGGCAGAATAAGCTAGAATTTCTATTGACCTTGGAGTGGACTATGAAGTTGACAACTGGACACGCAAATAATTCAGGTACCTAGAGACGGATTCAGAGTGGGAATGTAGAAGAACCACAAGATTAGGAGGTCATAGGAGAATAAAGTGTAGATTCGGTGTTACATTTCAATAATCAGAATGGGCTATCTTTACAAGTTACTAATTCATTAAGTTGATTTAACGATGTCATTAATACCACAATATTTTTATCAGTCCTATTCAACTTACCAGATTTTGGAATAAAGCAAATATTGAGTCTAATTCTTGACCTCGTCACCACATAAACATCAAGTTTGCATCATCAACTTTTCAATTATACTTTCCGTTACAAATTCCAGAGCCTCCTGAATTTGTCTTCTTCTTCATTACATTCATCTTCTTCAAACTGATTGATATACTACGTGACTTGATGCGACGGCTGTGTGTGAAGACTTTGACTGTCGGCCGTTGTCATGATGGGGACCTGGATTGATTGCCGCAGACTTACGTTTCTTGAATCGATTAGGACCGGGTCTGAGAGATTAAATTCGAACAAGGTACAGAAATTAGGGTGGAGCGAGGGAGTCACGTTGAGGGATAGGTGATGATGAACAACATAAGCATGTCCATTTGAACCTATATGGGCTGTAGGTTGACCTTTTTTAGCACTTCATTGCTGGGCGATGCTGGAAGGGCCTTACATTAGAAATCATATGTCCCTTTTTCTTATGTCAACTGTGTTATTAATTCTTAGGGTGAGTATTATTTCACCACTATTACAACTGTATGATGGTGAATCACTGTATGATGGTGAATCTTGTCTTGCCGCAACGACATCCTATAACATTGCGTTGTTGTACCGGGTAAGCTGAACGTTCCGTGCTAGCAGATCACAACAGAGTTGAGCCCTCACTTTGATTTGGCATGGGTTACTTATCCCGGGCCTGTTATTATCTTGTTCGGATACTTCAACATTTCCGCTGCCTAGTGATGGCGATCACTAACCTTGACGAATGCGGGTGCCAACCATGCCCTGCTAGACTGAAACATGACGGTGACCAGTAGGGCGCCCATGAAACGCCGGGGTTCTTGAACAGATTGGAGCCCTAGCCATCTCCCTAAAATTACTCCCACCATTACGAGTATTCAACCGCCGATGAAGATCAGTGAGACGTGAATGGCGGTAGAGATCACAGCTTGGCCTTTTGTTTATCTTGCTGAGTGCTGTTAGGGGAGGGGCTTTCCGAAGGTTCTTACTGCTCGTCAGTTGAACCAAATTGTTCAGCACGAGAACTTCAAAGAAAGACACGGAGACAGTCACCTAGAATTGGCCACGTGCCCTCCATAGTCTATTAGGCCGAGATCGATTTTGAGGATATTGTGCGTACTCGTAACTTGTCAGCTAAGGTAGTAGCATCACGTGTCTTTCTGGCCGCTTTGCCGGCTGATGTGGAGGGGGTTCGATGGTTTCCTAGTAGTGCTGACCTGTTCCCCCTGAGCTGGTATGTTTTGGGAACTACTAGTAATTGGGATACTAGAATAAAGGAGGATGTCGAGAACGGGCTCAGTTTGAATTACTCCAATTAGACATATAAGGAAGTGAATATTCACGAACTAAGGAAACATTCGCGTGAGATGATGTTCAACTTTGTCCAGAAGCATGCTAGAAGAATCATCACGGAATCCCAAGATATTATACGGGAGTGTAGGAAAAGAAAGGTAAGCAAAGGTTGCAAAATAGCCGACGATGGGTATGCAAAGAAAATCCATAAGGACGATCATCTTAGAAAGCAACCGTGAGCACGTTTGAGAAGCTAAATCAGCTGGATTAGTATAAAATAAACTTAGCTTAGTCTAGGCATAGAGAACGTGATCATCCCTTAATATCTGACATTAAACTGTGTTGAATATGCCTTGTCGGGATGAGAAGTTGAGACATGACATAGACATGGGATGGGACTCGCCGGCTTTCCCAACAAAAGGCAATAGGATTCGAGAATACGAGAAAGTCGAACCATCAGTCAGAGGCTAGTTTCATGATCACGTCCAGCGGCACAAATGGTCCGCTGCTTTGCTTTCCAAGGGCTCATAGTCGGGGGCATAATCCGAGTAAGCCACACGTGGACAATGAACTGAGGCTGGAGAGCGAGCTCGCGTACGATTTCTCCATCGGGAAACATCACGCGCCTTATGCCAGCATGAGCCAACCACATCATCCGCAATGCCTTCCATAAGCATACAACCATCTACTGTCATTGAAGCTTCCCGGTTTCCAAATTATCCAAGATCCTCAGCCCAGCCTGATTTTCAACTTAAAGTAATTAAGGATGAAAAGACATCACTCAGCATCTTACATTACAACCATCAGGTACTTTTAGTCTCCAAACATGAGAACATGATACGCATATGCCAAATAGAACAACAAAACCAAAATATCCAATGGCCTAGAGCTTGATTCGGAGATCTCGCCAAGTGTTGAATTGTTTCAAAGACCGGTGGAGGACAGACTAAACGAAAAATGATGATTTCGCTCTGTAGGATGAGGGGTCATAACCTTGTCCAACAGTATTTCGGACCTACTCGGCCTATTCTATACCGCCAAGGCAGAATCTCATGAAATTAAACTGTTAGTCATAGAATCAGCACCGCCACTCTGCTTCGATGGAAGCATCGGCCGAAACCTCTCACTTGCGCCAGTCATTCCAGCTATGCGATGCCTCTCCACACTTCGGTAAACGGTAGTTGTCAAGGGAATAAAAGTCCGGCATCATGTAGCGTAGGATGTAGCTTGCACCAGTTTCGAAAATGGCCTCATGTAAGCCTGGCCTAGCGGCTGGATCTCCATGGCATCAGTGTCTCTCGCTCAACTCCCGCCTTCGGTCCCGGCATTGACACGCACGTGGGGTTGTCTGCGAGTCTAGTCTTGATTGAGATGCGAATTCGATTCTCGCGGCTTTCAAGATCCCCACGCTCACCCCTCAGAACAGGAAACTGGTCTAAAACGAATGGCAACAAGCCCTAGGGATGAAAATGCCGACCGGAACATTCCAGAGGATGAGTGACGGGGCTGCCTGGTCGGGGTTGGGGCAATTGTTACCGTAGAAGGGATGGTGCTTACGACATCCTTGGTTTCGAGGTCTTCCCCTTTCCAGCAGGAGATTCTGGCTACTACGAGTGCGTTTTGTATGCGCATTGGGAGCGTGACTGCTCTAATGAAATTTTCCCCTTAGAAATTGATCTCGTACGCAATATGTCTCTCAATTGTCGGAACGCGGCTCTACCCCTAAAGTTGAGGATGAGGTAGGGCTCACCGGCGCATCCTGTCGTACGTCAAGGTTGTGCCCCGCCCTGTCATTCGGTATTTGAAAGAGTCGGTTGACCCTGGCAGGGAATCCTGAGGTTCCAAATATAGAATATGAAGTACTCACATCGAGCCAGGTTCCTCGTCTCATGCACAGCCATTTTCCTGATGAGAATCACCTGTAAGCTTAAATGTGCCCCAGACGTATTTCCCAGTTGGCAGTTTCAACTAGTCGCCTACCAGGACGAAAACGAAATGGGCTAATCAAATTACCCAATTCCGTGGCATAAATCTTGTCAGTTGTGGACGGGCTTGCCGTCGTGGGTATTGAGAGTTGTATACTTGAAACACGTCAAGACGCGAATGCAGCCTATGATACTCTTTTAGGGATGTAATTACCATCTTGTCAGCACCTAACAGGCGAGCACACAATCCTAAATAGGGCAGCCATGTATCTCAATTTCGGCTGTTGGACCTTCAGTCATCCGTCCCACTTTTAGGAGTCTGTGTTTGAGGATGACCGGGATATATCTTACTGCTCAGAAGTCGAAGGCCTTGTCGTGGTCCCATGTCCATGTCACGTCCGGGCGGTAATACCAAATTCCCCAAACACCGAAGCATTGGCACACCCCACCATCATTATATGCTGCCAAAGGTGCATCCTGTGGTGTTGGCAGCGGAACAGTCCCGGAACATGACGAGTAACCGGGAAGTCGTGCGCTAATTTCCATGCAGGCTTGGACCATGGTCCAGTGTTGACAGGCACCGTCTGAACTAGAGACGTCCCAGCCTTGGAAACACGTGGAGCAAGGCACAAGCTGACCATTGGACGTTAGGGGAGAACCCGAAGGATGATTTCTCCCTGAAACATCTTCTGTTATGTTATTATACCCATGGCCACAAGCATGTTGTAGATGCCTGCTCATCACCTGAATGGATGCCGACGGGAAGAACGGCCGGGCTCTCCTGTACCTTCTATATGGGATTAGGAAGATGGGAGCAAGGATGTCAGGAAGTTATAACCTCGCCGTTCCTCGATCTCTTTCCGTGGGTTTTCCTTGACATCATCACCCTTCTAGATCACCAGTCGATCATCTGTCTCTCTTTCTGTGATTTACCCACTCTCTTTTGAAAAGAAAACCTATTCATCATGCCTTCTTCTCTTCGTCTCACTGTGGCATCCGCCCTCTGTGCCACTCTGGCCCTCGCTAAGCCTACCGTCCGTGACGTTTGGCAACCCGCCGTTGGATCCAAGTTCGACATCATCCTCCAAGGCAAGGCCGACATTTCGAATGTCAAGGCCGACATCTTCGACCTCGACCTCTTCGAGAACACCGGAAACACCGTCGATTTGGACAAGGTCGACACTACCAAGATTGATGCCCTCCACAACGCTGGCGTCAAGGTCATCTGCTACTTCAGCGGTGGCTCATACGAGAATTGGCGCCCAGATGTTAAGTCGTTCAAGTCCAGTGACTTGGGCAGTGGGCTTGACGGCTGGGAGGGAGAGAACTGGCTCAACCTCAAGAGCGATAACGTCGCCGCTATTATGAAGCAGCGTATTGCCGTCGCTGCCAGGGCTGGATGCGATGCTATTGACCCCGACAACATGGATGGCTACGTAAGTCCCCCGTTCTAGGCGATCTTTGTTGAACTTTGTTATTGACGTGATTCTTTACTAGGACAACTCCAACGGCCTCGGCCTGACCGAGCAGGACACTGTCAACTTCTTCAAGAACGTCCTGTACCCCGCCGCCCAGGAGGCCGGCCTTGCTCTTGGTCTCAAGAACGGTGGTAGTGTCGTCGAGGATGTCCTCCCCTACGTTCAGTTCCAGGTCAATGAGCAGTGCTCCGAGTACGGCGAGTGCGGCGACTTCTCCCCCTTTATCAAGGCCGGAAAGCCCGTCTTCCACATCGAGTACCCCAACGGCGAGTCGGAGACCCCCAAGATCCTTTCCGGATCTGCCCTCAACACCTACTGCACCAAGGACTCATCGGGCTCCGACATTACCAAGTTCAGCACCGTTCTCAAGCTGATGAAGCTGAACGCCTTCACGCAGTTCTGCGACGGCTCCGTCATTAACCAGTAAGAAAACGGTTGCACGGGCTGCAACAAACTTGTATTATACAGCTAGACAGTATATACTCCATAGCAACAGCATCACCAAAAGTTGAAAATAGAGCAGGCATATTCTCTTAACGTTCGCAATATTTAGTTTTGATGTCACTCGTACATGTAGAGGAGTCTATTGCGTCGGCACCATTATCAGTCAGTCACCAGCTTGTTGGTACTAGCATTACAGAGTTTTCTCGTAGATCTTGCCTCCATCATCCCGCATGCAGAGTGCAACTCGAAAGATAGTCTTCATTTGCATCTTCTTCCGTTAGAGCTACCCATGGAGCCAGCCGCACTCAGACCCAGCCGGTTGTCTCAGATGCTTGAGGACTGCATGCCTAAAGCGGAATAGAAGCAAGGACCCTTTGGAAACATGTATTTCCTATTGCAACAATGTATTTACCGGGAAATGGAGCACGGCAGCCAAATCTGACGACTATGTTCTGGGCCCCTGAAAAATAAACCTAGTTTCTCGAGGAGGATCGTTTGCGGCAGCGCTAGGCCTTGAACGCGGGTATCGACTCCCCAATCGGATAACGACTTTCTCTGAGCTCGTGGAATGCTGGTGACGTTTGATGGACGACGCGGGGAAATGAGACATACTTTAGATGTGAGCGCGCCAGTCTCAGCCAGAATGCTATAGCGCCTGCTCTTGACACACTCGTGCTCTAGTATCAACGAGCAGCCAATTCGATCATGAAATATGACATCAAATACGAAGAAACAAGTCCCCCATCACCGGACACCTGTACCGATTCAATCAGGGTTGAAAGCCGCGATGAACAACTGGGAACGACGCGGAGAGGCCTCAAGGGTCGACACATCCAACTCATTGCGCTAGGTACGGCCCAGCTTCTCGTACCTGTCTCAGGTATCATTACGGCATATCTGAAGGTCTCTAATAAGCGGGAATCCAGGCGGTACAATTGGAACTGGCCTTTTCGTGGGTTCGGGCGCAACACTGGCTCAAGCCGGGCCTGGTATGACCCAATATTGAGATTTTGCTTGCCTCTCTAACGCGATGGCAGCTTCTTTGTTGATATCTTACGTCATTATGTCGGCTCTTGTTTGGATTGTTATGCTTGACCTTGCGGAGATGACATCCTACATGCCAATCAAGTCTCTGACTGTTCCATATCTGGTTGATCGATTTGTGGACAAGAGCTTGGCTTTTGCGACAGGTACTTGCAGTCCTACACCTAGCAATCAAAATGGCATTTACCAAGCTGATGAACCTGATTGTTAGGATGGAACTACTGGTGAGGAAACGCGTCAAACAACTGTGACAGGGCGTCCCTCTAACAATCTAGCTAACTAGGATCGCATACACGATGATTCCAGGAGCTGAGGCTACAGCCGCAGCGGTCGTCCTCGAGTATTGGACGAGTGCAGTGCCAACTGTGGTCTGGATCACAATTGTCCTCGCGGGTACGTAAGGCTCGAGATTTGAAGATTGTAGCTTACATTCCATAGTCATTCTGTTGCTGAACCTGGTTGCCGTCGCGATTTTCGGAGAGACCGAGTTTTGGTTTGCCTCGATCAAGATTCTCGCCATAATAGGTCTTATCATCCTCGGAGTTGTGCTCTTCTTTGGAGGAGGGCCCGACCACGATCGAATTGGTTTCCGATACTGGCAAGACCCGGGAGCGTTCCGTGGGTACCTTGTTCCAGGGACCACGGGGAAGTTTCTTGGGGTTTGGAGCTCGTTGGTCAAGGCCGGATTCTCCTACATCTTGTCGCCTGAGCTCATCACAACAACGGCGGGAGAATGCCAAGCGCCTCGACGAAACATCCCTAAAGCGGCACGCAGATACATTTACAGGCTTATCTTCTTCTACGTAATAGGTGCCCTAGTCATCGGTGTCCTCGTTCCGTATAACGACCCACGCCTTCTGGGAACGTCTAATGCCTCTGCGAGTCCATTCGTCCTGGCGATTAAGAACGCTTCAATCCCGGTTCTCGATCATGTTCTCAATGCCGTGATTTTAACATCCGCTTGGAGCTCCGGAAATTCGATGCTGTATGCCGGATCGCGATTACTCTATGGAATGGCGTGCAATGGTGACGCGCCAGCCATTTTCAAGAGGTGTAATAGACTGGGGATTCCCTATATGGCTGTCTTGGCTTCTTTCTGCCTCGGCTTGCTAGCATATCTCAATGCTTCCAGTGGCGGAGCCGAGGTTTTCAACTGGTTGGCGACTGTCACAACGGTCAACGGCTTGTTGAGCTGGTCGGTTGTGCTTTTCACATATCTGGTATGTGGGATCCCCCCGTAAATTCTTCTAGACGGCACAAACTAACTAATCAATAGCGCTTCCGCAAGGCGGTGCAATACTATGCCATTTCCAATCGTCTCCCTTTCAAGAGTCCGTTCCAGCCATACTCCACGTACATCTCGCTCGCCGGAATGGTTCTTCTATGCATCACCAATGGCTTCGCCAACTTCATCCCTGGCAACTTCTCAACAGCAAACTTTCTCACTTCCTACATTACGATTCCAATATTTGTTCTCGTATATCTTGGGCACAAATTCTTCTACGACAAGGGCCCATGGGTCCGCTCAGAGAAGGAAATGGATGTCTTTAGCGGGCTGGAGGAAGTAGAAGGGGTAACCGCCAGAGACATTGAGCCAATTCCCAGCGGAGTGTTTCAAAAGATCTGGTTTTGTATTTGCTAGACAAATAATAATAGACCTTGCTTGCTGTGCGTGTTGGGAAACCGAAACCAGACCATGTCCACATGCCGTATTTGAATCAAACCTGTTCAATCGTGCTTGATATCGCGTATCCCTCAAAGACTCTTAAAAAGGGGAATTGTGAGTCAGTTGTTGAGGCCACTTTTGCCACACACAAACTTCGCTTGATTGTTCATAACATCAGTGATCAAAATCCAGGGGTTTTCACGAAGAGATACCTACAACGCGCAACTGTCACAGCATGATGACACTTGGAACAACACACGCGACAACGCGTCAAGTGTTTGCTTAGAAGCACGCAGAGTTGGAAGAACAATTCACACTCTCTTCCTTTCTCTTCTTCTTCGTCTTTTTTTTAAATAGTTCTTTCCTCGCCATTCTCACGACTCTTAAGTCTTGAACAGAATACTCATCCTCGCACAAAACTTAGATCCAAGGTCTCAGAACTTTTTATTCTCAACGTCAGCTTTCACGAACGAAGTTTCAACCGACTTAATCCTTTTGCACTTTTTTCCGCATTTTAGGACATTGCTTCTGTTCCACACACCAGGCCCAACTTTCCTTCGAAGCCGTTCCAAGATTCTGTTCAGCCACGCGATGGCCCAAGACGATAGTTCCAACCCGGAAGTGATTCCAACGAAAGAATGGGTAGAGTCAGTCGAGATCCAGGAGAGCCTGGATGAGTTCTTCCAAGAACCCTTTGCTCGAGACCTCATCAAAAAGATAGAGGCAAATAGGGTCAACCCTTTGCCCGAAGTGAAGAGCCGCAAGTTGATCGAGATCCTTGTGGACGCAATCCTTGAGCTCCTCGGTGTCAACCCTGGCGCCTGCCCAGATGCCACGGAAGACTGTGTCAAGCTCTGTGTCAAATACAACATCTTGAAGCATCAGGTATGGGGTCGTTTACCTTTTGTCAAGCATCCCGATCGCATCAGTGCCAGGCTTCTCCACGAGCAGGCTTTGGCCACGAAGATGCAGCTTTCATTGCCATTTCCCGAGGTCGGCATGCTCATGGTTGTCTCGTTGCTTCTGAAGCTCGAAGGAAGCTCCAAAAGCTCCACTTCACGCGCCATCAAGGAGCATTTTCTTTTCGAGAGAGCCAAGTTGGCCGCTTTGGTCTACAATCGGGAGTCCTGCAACGGCATTTTTGCCATCAACAATTGCCCTGAGCGCTATTCTTTCACCGCACAGGAAGATAACCACGCACCAAGCGTCGCCCAAACCACAGCTTCAGGCCCAGAAGACCAAGGCAAGCGGTTCCGTTTTGTGGAATTCGGAAGCAACAAAGAGATCGTCATCAATGATGATGACAACTCAGCGGACCATTCGCCGCGGAGCAGAAAGCGCTTCGCTAGCGGAAGTTCCCAGAGTACCTTGCCCCAGCCAACTCCAGATGCCGAACGAGAGCCAACGGCGAAGCAGACTTCCAACATACACGGCACCTCACGGCCAATCATTCACACAAGTCCTCCGCGCACGCAGTACGGCAATCCATCCTATCGATTCGATTCGCAGTCGGCAGCAGACATTGTGCCAACGGGAACCTCTCACCAAGAAGAAACTCCAAAGGTTCAAGCTCATCCTCCATCCATAACTGTCCAATCTGACGCCAGTCGTAATGGGAGCGATGCGGGCGTCTTACCAGCTTGCGCCCGTGTGCTCGATGACGGCAAGCTCGTAATGGAACCCGAGGCCGTCCAGGAGATGTTCAATGCCTTCCGAGCTATCAAGGGCGGTCTTCTCAAGTCTGATATCGGAGTCGCAGCAAATGCTTACAATCAGATGATGTTGGCCTTCCCAGAGAGTCTTCGGGATTCCATGGAGCTGAGCATGACTGGCGTCGACACTGTGGCCCAGGGCAAGGCGCAGACATTGAGAGCTCAGATAGTCAGTGGCAGGATTGGCAGGATGTCCAAGGCCCTTGAGGAGATTGATGAAAGGGTGGCGAGCATACGTGCGTTGCTGTCACATGAGCATCATGCTATCGCCAATCTGAAGCAGCTGCTCAAGTCCGTAGAGGACGATTTAGAGTAGAGGGCAGCTTGTGGCATGCCTAGAGATGGACAGAGAAAGAAACGTCGGGCGGCATAATCCGAGAGGAAGTAACAGCGGTTAGTGGAACAAGGTCTTTCGGTCAAATTGTTTACATGAAAGAAGACGTATCACATTCCTCGACAAGCTCAAGAGATCAATTGTTGTTTTAAGGATGTCAGATGAGTGCGGGCATTGAACATCTGGATATCACTGTAGTATTAGAGAAGCATGTCTAGGGTTTAGCCGACATAGCGGAGAGGAATGTCGACTAGGTATGAATAGACAACAAGATTGTAGACATGCTCTTTTCAGGCCATTCTATAACCGATTCTTGAAGTGCTCGGACACCTCGATGACCTTCCACTTGTCCTCCCCAACAGCGATGGAATCTCCCACGTGCCATTTCGACTTGTTCACCAGTACCTGAGAGCAAGGCAGTTCATCCTCGCCAATGCTGATGGTCCTCTTCCAGCCAGCTCCTCCGGCAATCCACACCCAGCGCTCAGCCGACAATCTCTCACCCTTGCGGAGGAAACCCTGACAGAATCCACCCAGCCGGACGACGGACCCCTTGGCCTTGTCTCCCTGGTCGATTTGCACGGTGATTGCCTCAAGGGAATCATCCAGGCCCTCGGGGAACGCGTTCAGATCCCGCCAGACCTCCTCGTAGTCCGTTTCCTTGCCCGTCTCAGGATTCTCCATCCTGCCCACCTCGAGCGTCGTCCCGTCAGCTTGCGGGTACATGTCGCCCTCATCTGCGAGATCTGCCGTGTCGGTGGTGCGCGAATCAATCCAATGGCGCCATTGACCACGACTGACCTTTCCGGCCTCGCGACTCCATGACAGAGATGTCCCAGCGATGAGCCAGTCGATCCGGTCCAGGGGGATTTTTTCTACTCAGGCGGCGATTAGCATGGTTCATTTGGCGGGCAGCAGAGACAAGACGTCACTCACCTTCTGCCGTCGGCCAGTTGCTTGCGCTTCCTTCTGGGCGGAGCACGCGGATATCGACAAAGTTGCGCTTGGGAGATGTGATGACCAGAGTCGATGTTGGCTCGCTGGCAGGCTCTGGCAGCCACCGGATTGAGTCGCGGAGAGAGATGCTGCCCATTGTGAGAGTGATATTTGGAGCGAAAGGGAATTGAAGGGACTGAAGCTAAATTGAAGAGACTAGAGAATAAATAAGGAGAGAAGTTGGCAGCCTGGGAGACGGTGATGGTGATGGTGATGTCCTCAACTGCGGTGAAGCGGCTGGGGAATCATTTGTCCGGCCAGTGACGATCGAATTAAGAAAGTAGAAGCGAGACCAATAAGACCCATCCCCCTCATGAAAAATGCAGCCAACGTGATTGGGCATGGCTCCGTGGCCTTCTCCAAATATTAACCCGATTCAGGCACAATCTGGAGAAGACGCAGATGCCAAGCCAAAACATTCTCCGGCCCGTTTGATAAGCCTCATTCTCTTATCAGTTTTCTCCCCCTCCGGCACCGTTATCGCAATGCTTCGGTTGTAGCCAGACGGGGCTCGAGTCACAGATATTTAGCCATCGCTTCACCCTCGACGCCTGTTCACAACTCCCCTCATCTACATTTCTCACTCCAAGATTGGCTGCCCACCATGATACTCACGTGGACTCTTCTCCCAGTCGTGGCCTTGGCTTGGCTGGCTCTCTATATCTGGCAATGCTGGACATCACCCGTGTCCAAGGTGCCTGGCACAACTCTCTCTCGGTTCACCTCAGCTCCTCTCCGCTGGCACGAGTTCCGTGCCAACCGAACTCTGTACATCCACTCTTTGCATCTCAAGTATGGTCCTGTTGTCCGCTTGGCGCCTGGTGAGCTGTCGTTCACCTCATATGAGGCAGTCAAGGAGATCTACGGATCTTTTGGCAGTGGCTACGACAAGACCAAGTTTTACAACATGTTCCGAGTCTTCGGTCGCAGGTAGCCATCTACTCTACCTGCTTTAGATGGATCCTAAAAGCTGACCATCATGCCCTAGAACGATGTTTTCGACACTTGAGAAAAATGACGTCCGTGGTTTCTTATCCCTGCAGTGGTCATCAGCTTACGTTAAACAGCATGCAAAGAGGAAACGGATCATCGCCGATAGATATGCCAATAGCAACGTCGTGAAGCCAGCAGCTGTCAGTGGCATCGAGAGCCGAGCACTCGAATTCACTCGCCAGTGTGAGGAAGCATCTGGCTCCAGCGTGGATATCTATGTACGCTCTCCCCTGCCATGATTGTTTGAGTGTTCTCTATGATGCAATTGAGTGCTGATTATTCACTCCAAGATGAAACTGCATTCGTATGCATGTGATGGTATTACTCACAACCTATTTCATCCTTTTGGCAGCAATTGCTTGCAGAATGAGGAGGACAGAATCATGATGCACCAAGCAACCAATGACAACAGTCTTCAAAGTAAACACCAATCTCACGATTATGCCATGGAGAACATTAAGCAGCTGACAATCATTGACAGATCGACTTCTCCAGCATCACTACCCAATCATCTACACGTACATATCCAAGATCATCGATTTATTTCTGGAACCGCGTGCCACGCCGCTCGCCAACGCATTTATCAACGAGAAGAGTAACGCAACGGATCCAGCGCCCTTCACTCTTCTCAGCCGACTTCAGGAAAAGATCGGGTCCGACTTGGATGTGACTGACATCGCCGCAGAGTGCCAGGATCACATGGTAGCTGGCATTGACACGACTGGCGATGCGCTCTGCTTTCTGATGTGGCAACTGTCTCTGCCAGAGTCAGCCCAAATCATGCAGGACCTCCAGAAAGAGCTCCGTACCAATCGCGACGCCAACTTTGACAAGCTTCCATTCCTCGACGCTGTCGTCCAAGAAGGCCTGCGCTGCTTCCCCGCCATTCCCATGTCTCTCCCTCGCCATGTACCTCAAGATGGGAGAAACATCGACGGGTATTTCATCCCGCAAGGCACAATCGTCAGCAGCCAGGCGTACTCTGTAAACAGACACAATTTCGACGTATTCCCTGACCCAGACCGATTTAACCCCTATCGATGGCTGGAGCCAGAGGGAGACGCGGAGAGAAGGCGACTCATGTTCTCCTTCTCTCACGGTGGGAGGGGATGTGTTGGCAAGCAGTACGTACCAGTCATCTTTCTCTGATTAACCATCTCACCACCTGCAGGATCATTGCTAGCCATTTTGCTAACAATTGGCTTAGTCTGGCGTTCTTGGAGATGAAGCTTCTCCTCCGACATGTCTATGTCAAGTTCACAACAGTTCCGGACCCCGCCACGACTCGCGAATCCATGGTTTTCCATGACCAGATTATTTCCTCAAGGCCTCTGGGTCAGAATTGTCTTCTCAAATTCGTACCAATCGCAGAGGACTAGATGGTAAATCTAGACATTGAGTGCAAGTACACTGCGAAAGGATCAAATGTGAGCATCATTACCAAAAGTCGTGTATCAGGCCTTCGTCTGAAGGCATTTTAGCTCGATTGGTTCTTTTTTGTGTTAAATATGAGGCCTTCCAGCCAAGGACTCATTCCAGAACCGGCAAATTCACTGTATATTTCCCAATTGGGTCTTGCCAACGTGACAAGCACATCTAGATGAACCGCCATGTTCTATCCAAGTGATTATCCAAACCATTTGGTCCTGATTTATCTTCCGCATCGAGGTATCCGCATATGACCCCTTTTGGGTCTCGCTGACGACGGATGTCCATGAGTCTTCTTCCTTGCTCCTCACCCCAAAACCTCGTGGTTCTGCTTTGAAGGTCGAGGTCCCCAATATATGAACCACAAGAATGTGGTTTGATACCCTTAATGACGTCCTTGACCCAGGAGATACATTTCTCGTCGTCCTCTTTATTCTTCCATAACGTGTACATGGCAATGTAGTGATCACACTGCAAACTGATAGCCATGTCTGGGAGATTCTTGCGGCTCCAAGGATTCATCGGATAATAGAATGAATAGGCCTCTTTCGATGGCAGTGATGTCAGTGCCTTTTCCAAAACAGCTAGCACGTCCTCCTCATTGTTGACAAACGCGTTGTCACAATAATAGCGATGGCCAGCGGGGTTCGCATGACGCTGGCTGATGTACTCTTGCTCCAGGCTTGTTTCTTGACAAAACAAGTGGACGAGTGGGTTTTCAGGGTGCGATGCTTCGGCTGATCGTAGGGCCTCTTCTGCTTCGGCCTCGCTTGACTTGAGGCTAAGAAAAGAGGCAACCATGCAGATTTGGTCTAAGCCGGGAGGATAGCATGAAACCATGACTATTTCGGTGTCGATATCAAATGTTGGTACGAGCTTCAAGGGTCAGAGCATATCATCGATTGGGAAGACAATATCATGCTCACCTTGAGAACCCATTCAAACACTTCTCTGTATACTTGTACTGGGTAGATATAAGTTGAGGAACGCATAGCTTCTGAAAGAGGCCTCGTTCTGAGGTGGAACCGCGTGACGACACCTGGAAAACCTGGTCCAGATCCCCGAGCAGCCCAGTAGAGATCTGAATTCTGGTTCTCATCTGCCCGTACAAGTTGGCCGTCGGCGGTTACTGCATCAATGGCAACCACTTGTTCGCATGCCCACCCCCAGCCCTGCTCGCAATTAGCATCAAGCGGTTGTGCATCTTCACACTTGGCAACGCATCGTTCATCTTACTCGAGCATTCCAACCAACTCCGCCTTGGAGCAAGAAGCCTCCCAGCGCCACGTCGGGACAGTGGCCACCACAAAACATTCGACCTTTAGAGCGGAGGTAAGGAGCCAGCTTTCCTCCAGTAGTCGACGCCGTTACACGAACAATACCCGTCTCCTCATCAAATTCCATTTCATGGAAATCGCCAAGGTCAAGCAAGATGGAATTGTCTCTCAGTGCCCAGGACGCCCAGCTGTGACCTCCGGACCGCACGGCAATTCGGCAGCCCTTCTCGGCGGCCAGTTTCACGGCTTCGACGACTTGATTCTCTTCGGTGATTTTGATGACGCCCAGCGGGAATCGATCAGGGACTCGCATGTTGAATTGCCTGTCTACCCTCGCGGCCTCGTAGCCGGGATCGGTCTGTTGTATGATTTGCAAGTTATCCATCGTGCCGTACGTTGTTTATCAGCGTCTGATACAGATCTCGCTATGGTGGAACTTGTTCAATCAATGCTTAGATGACTTCAACCTTTGAATTCAACTGTGACGGGTCGTGAGTGCATTGTTATTCCATCTTGAGGTGGGTACTGCTCATCCAGAACGGCCCAGATAGTGGGCACAAACCTAGCATATAAATGGGACTTAATTCCCTCATTGGAGAATATTTCAAGCTTTGGCTTTTTTCTCAGTTCTCTCATTGGATTATGATCTTTCAGCTATACGCCTCCTTGTCTTTTACAGGCGGAAAACAAGATGCTAACAACATTAGCCTCAGCTACTTTAGTCGGCTGGGTTTTAGGGTCATGAGCTATAAGGACTAATAAAAGGGCTGAAATGAGTCAATGTTGGCCCTCAAGATACGCTATCCTACCTTAGCCCTACCCTATGTTTCCCGGATTATTGCTATCATATACTGCAACGTACCTTAGTCACACCTCCTTAACACATAATTCGGCATTCGGAGTAAAGAAGGCATGATAGAGTAACTTTAAATCCAAAAAAGGTTACATTTCTCTACTTAGTGTCAAAGAAGAATCACCACACAGTCACAATGAACAATCGTCCAGGATCATGAGAACCATCAATATGACTTCTGTATGAGAATGATGCGAGATTACTGTTCTTACTTAATTTTGACATTTGCGCTCGGAGACAGTTAAAATTTTTTCACACTTAATTGCAGGCAGGCCACAGTTCACAAGATACCTATTTCAAAAACTCGTACTGACGGGAATGGACATCATAGGTCATAATTACACCTGATGCCACTTAAACAATATGAAGCGCGTATCAAGCATGTCACAATGATGTACGAGACAAGTAGTTTGTTTCAGATGAGATATTTGTCACCAAAATTAGAAAACCAACATCTACCGAGCAGCAGTGTCTAGTTCATTTGGCTCGACGTCTTCGAAGATGGGCTAGCCCGCGACTCTCCCAGAATGAAGTAGGAGACTTTCTGGAACTTCTTAATTTAAACCGTTAATGATTGTTGCAGAAGCGGGTTTCAGATCTAATGACAACCCAACTGGCCCACCTGAGGATTTAAAAAAGCACATTCCTGCCTTACATGAACCCACAACATTACATTCGGGCTAAGGCGAACCGAATACGGATCTGTGCCTGAATTTGAGTTCGTCCCATGGTTGATCCACAAGGTAGAGGTGGAGAGCCTACCGACGGCCTGTCACATCAGAAAAGGACAGACGACCGTATGAAGGAGTCAGAGCTACTCTTGGCTTTTAGACCTATTCTAGAAGTCACGGCCGTTTCCCGGAACCCCCGCTAGGGTCTCATTTCCGAGATAGGACAAGGCCTGTATCAACTGGAACGTTGCGCTGGTAAGTTCCGATAGACTGGCTCAAGCCGATCTGACAGGATCGATCGTCACGTAGCAACCAGCCGATCATATCACCACTCAATCTGAAACAAATCGTCATTCTGCATTTCATGCTTGACATTTGATATTTTATGTCTTGATTAAGAAATTTACGTAGGTATCTGGTGTCTATATATGGGAATCAATCTATCATGTGGTTTCAAAACTCTCTTTCCGAATGCGTCTTGTCATTACCGGCCGTAACTCCCCTTCGTTATGTTAACAAAAACCCAGCACAGAGGAAATTTTCTCTCAAGTGTTCAAACTTACGCGATATCGCTTGACACATGGGAGTCGTTATCGCTCTTCTTGGTATCCTCGTACTGGACCGCGACGTTTGTAGTTCGCAAGATACCGTTGTAGGTCATAATCTCCTCCTCAGACCCGGAAGGTGAGATCCCGCGGATCTCGGTATGTTGGTCATGTTTTCTAGAGGCGGGGTTTAGGTCCCTGAGAGCGTAGTGGCTGTCCCTGACGTTGGATCTGTTCTGGGCTGTGACTCTGGACGTCTGACCTAGGGAGTTGTCATAGGGCGTGCTGTTTGACTTTCCACCTGAATCCGTGCCGAAGAACTTGGGGTACCAGCGGCTGAACAGTGGGCGAAGGGCGGGCATAGAACAAGAGATGACAGCGAGGTTGACCTCCACGGCAGTCCAGACGTAAGCGATATTGTAGTGCCTTGCTTTTTCTCCAAGATAGAGTAGTCGGTAGATGTTGACGAGTCGAATGATGGCAACGATTGGTACACTAGCGAGCAAGAGATAATTAGACGGGGTGAAATTTGATGAAGTGAATGTCCGTTACAACTTACAATGCACCGATAAGGAACACTCCGAGCACGGCAATCTTTGCACCCCTGGCCATTCGAAGACCTAGGAAAATCCAAAAAGGCAGTACCAAGATAGCCACATCAGTGGCAATTGTGATGCTGGACTGTATAATGTGGAAGCTGTTGTCGATGCACCTCGTATTGGGATCCTTCCTCAACTCGGGATGCCAGTTGGTCGCAATCGGTACGCATTGGAAGAGCGCGCCGAAGAAAACGGCAATGGCGTGGAGGATGGTGAAGATCATGAGACCCCAGATGACTTTGAAGACAGTATCGTTGATTCCTCCTAGGCGAAGCAGGAAAACAAGAATGGAACACTTCACGAGCGCCAGTACGGGGTTATAGCAAAGCTGCTCGAAGAAATTCCACCATAGGCCGGCAGAGGGGTCGAATTCCGGGACCTTGTCGTCTTCCCATCCATAGTAATTAAGCTTAAAGACTATTCCTTCACTGTCAGTCTGCAGATCTTCCTTGACGCTGATTAGGGTTGCATACACATGAACAGAGTTGATGACACAAGGATCGCCGAAACCTAGTGTTGTATTAGTATCAGAGGTGTCGCAGTTCGCCACATCAAGTCAAGCACTTACGAGTGCTAAACCACAAAGATAATCATCTAGAGCGAAACGTGAGTAACTCGGGAGAAAATAGTTGAATCAGAGATCACATACCCACGCCCACCGTCCTCATCGTGACTCGAGTATACACTCGCAGAGCGAAGATGATGACCGCGATACCAGGAAGAAAAAACATCAGGAATACACCAGCGGCCTGCAGCGGGGGAGTAGGAATGTCAAGGACATTGGGATAGGGGCCAGGTCCTGGCCCATACTCCGTCGTCCTCTCCCAGAGGTTCGACTGATCCATTTCCGAATACGTTTGTGTGTTTTCAGATCGCCAATCGAGAATTCAGGGCCACCACGCCTAGAAAAACATGAGGCAAACCGAAGATCCAGGAAAGATTCCGAAAGGCTGGTTATGAAAATTTAGCCTGAGCGGGGGACGATCGTATATTAATCATAAAACGG